CTAATGATCTAATGGTTAAAATTTAACATTAAACTTTAAACTTGTAGGGGTATTTTTGACCTATATATTTTTTCTTTCTTTAACCTATATATATATATATATATATATATATAGATCTAATCCAAAGGTTGAGAATTGGTCTTACGGGTCTCACGGAAAACCCTTGGTCTCACGTGAACCCAAGTTTATATATATATATAGGTAGAGGATTGTGTGAGAAGAAGAGTTAAAGTGAGAAGCGTAAGAAAGGATCTGGACCATTGATCACCTTTAATCTCAAACACACTCATGAATTGCATTTGATACAGGGATTGATTCAGTGATCACGGTGCATCTCCTCCTAATGTGCATCTACGAATGAAGAGTCCTTCTTACGCTTCTCATCTTAACTCTCATTCTCACCGAAACCCAACCCTATATTTATAAATTTATATATTTGAAAGATATTTCTATTTGTTTCCTATATCATCCACCTCTTTTACACTTTCATCTCATCACCAATGTATGATAACCAAAACCAATACCACATTTCAAGGTTTTAGAAAATTGAAATTTTATGGTATCAAATCATCAACCCACCATCTTACTTTTTGTGTTAATTTTTAATAGAGATTAAACTTTTGAAAAAAAAAAGAGTGTTTAGTCAACTTTATAATTTGTCACAAACCATTTTAATTTCTTTTCGTATACTCAGTTCTCTCTTCGAAACTATCGTCTCAGCACGAACGTGAGATAACCAAATCAACATCACATTTCAAATACAAAACAAACAAGAATCATAAAATGTTCGAATATTCTTTTCACCCGGTTCCCCCACAGCATTAATGAATTATTGATATGGCAAACCTTTTTGTTGGAATAAAAAATTCATATGGTGGAAGAAAATTTGTCTGAAAAAGAAGATCAAACACATGGAATGTGGACCCTACATATGAAAGCGATGGCAAAAAGACAAAGAAAAGTCACATAATCTTAATGAAAATAACTCTCGTCTAGTGGCACTACTCAGTGTCACTCTAACTCGGTAAGCAACAATGTATGAAAACCCGTAAAGAATTCTAAGTCGATATTCATGAACTTTGCACAACCAAGTTGATTGCAACTTTACAGTAGGATCTCATTAACTTGATCATCATAGTGTTTTTGTAATAAGAATCTTTCTAGTTTTATGGTGAATCAACCATATATCATACAAGAATAGGAAATATATCGAAAAATAGGGTAGAAAATAGTTGATATTTATTTATTGAAATGCTTCGTAAATTAGAAAATTACACTCCTAAGATGCAATTGAGGTACATTCTATGACAAAGAAACTGATTGCGAATATGGATTATTGAATTAGATTCTTATCACCTGACTGGTATCTCGACATTGGAGAACCTGCCTTTTTGAAAGAGCTCTCAATTATGGTCGATGAACTTTTCCAACAACGATAAATCAACCCATAGATAACCTTCATTTGCATTTGTGAACTATAAGCAGTCAAAACTTATTAATTATGATATCGGGCTCTCATGAAACCATATGTCGTCTTGAGATCAGATGGAGATCCCAGTACTAGAAGCCTCCAATTCTCCTTCAAATTGTCAAGGATCGATTACGCATAACACCAGTTGTGGTGGGGATGGATTGACAATGCAATCAAATTGAACGGTAGGGAAGAAAATAAGAGAGTAGAACGTAACCATCTATCGTCAATGTTTGTTTCTACTTATTGCGAGATTTGAACATTATCTTTCTAGCATATGAGCGATAATCGGTTACACACATTCAATACTGTAATCTCACGATTCAAGGCTAATGAATGTGCAATGGAACTAGTAGAATTGAGTTGATCTGATGACAAGCTAATAAAGGGATTTAGAGCAATGAACCAATGAATGATGTGTTCACGATTAAAAGGGGAAATCTGTATATTTTTAGTCAAAATTCTGTTACTTTTCGACACACAAAATAAGAAACGACCTCTCAGATGCATGAGTGGTTGGAATTCTCGCTCTTATCACCTTTAGCAAATCTTGTGGCCACTGAATATTCACACACAATCAACCTACATTGATTAAATCACATGAAAAGTGAACGTAATTTAACATAATGATTTGGTTAAAGGATACACTGCTTTGGAACCTAACCACAATGAAATTGAAATACCAACAAAAAGCCCAAATTATTGTGATTGAACCTGCATAAAATTCCAAATCTGACCATATGAAGAGAAAAATACATTTTAAATACCAACGTTGAGTTATATACATTTCGACCAAAACGGAGCCGTAAAGATGAAGAGTTGCTTGTACAATGATTGAACGTGGATATGGAGTTACGACATTCATTCCACCATGATTATCACAACCTCAAATGTTTCTCATGATTGTCAGTCACTGCAACTTTGATACCGATAATCGTTTATCATAAAACAGATAATTAGATTAAAGAAGCCATCACTGATCAGTAATCTTCAGTTTCAGATCTTCAATTCAAACACCTGATAATGCAGTGAACATTTAAAAACTTCTGATTTTATCCTTTACAGTTATACTTTGTCGTTGAGAGGTTAATCGAATCCGATCGACGAATGCGATCGAATCGAAAGAAGAAAATGAAAATGAAAAAAAAGAAAAAGAAAAAGAAAAAGAAAATGTTTTGTGTTTGATGATTCCAATGTTTATCCTCCTCATTTCAATTTTGAGATAGTTTCCAAAATTTCGTCCATCACTTGCCAAACACACCGTACAAATGTCCACTCAATCACTCTCCCTTCGCCTCCTCCTCCTTCATCCCCACACTAAACCCTAGAGACCCACCTCCATTCTGTCAATCAATGGATTCCCGCCGTGCCCCTCGCACCGTCATCGACCCCAAAGTCCGGCAAGTCGGTTTCTTTGCCCCACCTGATCGCTCTCAATCAGTACCCTTACTGCAAAACTCCAATTCCCCCCCATCGCCTCCATTATCAGACCTCTCCCCCTCCGGCAACTCACTCTCTCCGGTTATGATTCCACCTCCACGTCATCTCTCCGACCTCTCCTCCCGTGCCGTCCCAGTTGGATTCCCTCCGAATCGGTTGTTATCACCTCTTCATCGATTTTCCGGTGAATCCGTAATCCCTGTTGGCAGTTACAATCCATCGGAGTTTGCTTCTCCATCTGTTGGGGATTTTTTTGAGGAGAAGAATGCACAGTCGCCTGGTCCGCGACGGAGCCGTGGAGTTGGTGGTTCTGGGAAATTCGCGTCTTCTTTGCCCGCCGGTGGATTTGAGTTGCCTCCGGAAGTGAAACCGAAGAGCTTGACCACCGTTTCGGTTGTCAGCAATTTGCAACCTAATGTGACTGGTATGCAATGCAGGAACTTATTGTTAATCCTTTAATGACTGCTATTTGTGCATTGGTTTTGTAATCGTCTTACATTGTTCATTTCTACTGCCAATTGAGTGATCACTGCACTCGTTTTGCTCAATTCTAGGTCCTGCCAGCCTTTTGTGTAAAAGAGATTGCATATACCACTCAATTTCTTGAAATGACTTATTATTCATATGTGAAGACACTGCTGCTTTATCTTCAGGATTTAATTTTCACACACTATTAACATATGAATATTTGTACTACTTTGTTACACAAGTTTGGACTATGAAAGATATGCCCGTGTTTCTAATTCCCAAGTTCAAATTTCAATCTGAAATCATTCTCTTATATTTTTGTTGAGTGGAAATGGGATTAGAGTAGAAAAGTATGAGTATAAATAAAATATTTTGTGGCACTTAGGCCTCATTGTAGAACATTGCCTTGTTTTTTAATTCCAATAATTCCAAAAGAGCGGTTACGATTCTTTTAGTTTATTTTATGAATCTTTGAACATACAATCGGGTATTTTTCTTTTTGTGCAAAAGGCCGCTAGGATAACACTTGGGGTCTATTTAATCGTTTGCTCGTAGTTTTTATTTGATTTTTTAATTAATTTTTGTTTAATCTTTATTGGGGATATTACTTTGGTATTTTTCTGGTTTTGTTTGGGATTTGCCAGGTACTTTGTGTCAAAATCATGGACATGGATGAATATTGAATTTTTGTGGGTGGATAAATCAAGAAATATGATAATGGGTCAAAATTATGGATTACATGTGTGCCTTATTCATCTATAAATTTTTTATATTCAGTCGTTATCTAGTTTGCCTATCTAATTATTCTGTCATTAGTGTGCTATTTTGACTATGTGTGCATATCCAAACAATCAATTGCCATTATAAATTTGATGCAGTGAAAAATTATCGAAACCATTTCTCTTGACTCTCTAAGTTTATTATGTTCTTATATAAGATGTAGCGAACCTTAGCACACATTCACTTAAATTAGCGTATTTAACTCTTCCCACTTCCTCATTGGGTGTATATGCGAATTAGTAAATTTTAAGCCATTAGAATCCATCACATCACTTCTATATTTGTAACATTGTATGGTTGACCTTACAAGGTAAAAAGTTGACCTTTTAAGGTACATTTTAGCACATCCTTCAAAAACTTCATGGAGCCTATCACTACATTTTTGCCGAATTTGTATGGATTTTGCTATGATCATTTGGAGCAAAGGCACCTTTGTTTGTCAATATGCTTAGTAACATTAACTATTGCAAATGTGAATTCACGGGTGTTCTCATAAATTGTAGATTTGTAATCTGCCCAATTATATTTGTTTACACATATTGATCCCTTGATTATCTTTCTTTTTGTTCGCTTTCTGATATTACCAGTTTTGTAAGTCAACATCTTTTTCTTTGTTGCTAAAGTCGACATGCTGTATGTGTATTTTCTAAGAACATGGTGAAAGTTAGTTTGGATTGCATTTAGTTTAAATTGGCTGAAGCTTCGTTTAGAATATCGTCATTGCCATCGGTTTTACTACTTTTGACTTGTTAATCTTCTCTCGCATCTTTCATGTTTGACCAGCATTTATGATTTTCCTTCTTTATCATTACCCATAAATTGGTTTGAATTCTGAGTTTTGCATAGTCTAACGGAAGGAGAAGAATTTTTTTTTCTGCATTAAATGCATTTTGATCATTGTTTCATGACTATGGTGTTTTTGATTTTAACTCCAAGAAAACACTCCCAACCCTTGTGTCCTCAGCGCAGAATCTTGTAAACCCTAGACCCTTCAAGAGTCTGCGATGGGATCGCTTCCCCCAACTCGTGAGGCTTTTCTCCCAAAAGTTCGGCATGTTGGGTTCTTTGTCTCTTCAGACAACTCAAAGTTGGAGACAAATGTCCCTTCATCTTCATCCTTGTTATCCGAACTCTCGTTTGAAAATTCCCGCTCTCCTGTGATGATCCTCCCCATTCGTCCCTTTTCCGCCCTGCCCTGTTCTTCTGGTGAATTTTGTCCGATCGACTCCAATGGCAGGAGCCATCTCTTGGATTCTAAATCTTCGGATACCTCACAATTGGAGACAAATGTTCCTTTATCTGAAATCCCGTTTGAAAATTCCGGCACTCCTGTGACGATCCTTCCCATTCGTCCATTTTCAGCCCTGCCCTGTTCTTCTGATGAAATTTGTCTGATTGATTCCAATGGCAGCAACCATCTTTTGGATTCTAAATCTTCGGATTTGGGGATCTTCAATAAGGTTCAGAAAATGGGTCAATTACTTGAAGAAGTTAACACTGGGAATTTTGTTTCCTCTCCACCTCCTGGTGGATTTGACTCGGAGTTGGTGAAACCAACCACTACATCTATGAGTAGTTTGACTCTGTCAACAATGATCAATGGTGCAATTGGTATGAAGATTTGTGCATTTATATTTATTTTTAAACCTTTAAAGGGAAATAATACATTGATCACGTACTCCAAGAGGCCACTGGAATATAAATAATTTATGTAGGATCATTAAAGAATTCAATTAATAGAAACTTGTAGATCGTTGTCACGTGATTGGTATTTTTAAGTATCGATTAGGCTAGAATGAATGCACCATAATGTAAAATTACCAAACCAAGAAGTCTGGTTTGCGAATCTTATATGTTTTGAATTGAGATATGGGATGTGGGAGGGAATTCAAGTTTGGGTTCATTTTGTAAGGCATGGGATGTTGTAAGGCATTAGCAGTCAATTCTTTTTGGCAGTAAGCATATATACTGAGTTCTTGTCTGTCTTCCATTAAATGTAAAATATCTAAGCATTTTCTTGTGTTTTGTATCGACTTACTAAATCAACAATTGGCAAATTAGGGGCTGTTTGGTTGGTTTTCATTAAGTCTTGTATGTATAAAGTTGTCTGTGTGGATTAATCTGTCTACATAGATTGGAAAGGTTTTTGTGATGGAAGGAGCTCATTTTTATTTGGGAGGGGCAGGTTTGGGAAAAACCTGGCTTTCTGCATAAAGATCCCCCTAGAAGCGTATTGAATAAGTCACTTTATATCGAGTCACTGCCAAATAGTCATCTATAGCTGACCGATAGATTGTGAGTCCCATTAAGCTCATTAAGCTGCTAATAAAACGTCATCTATAGTACATTGAAACCATATTTTTGTTTGACTTGGTCAACTTCTTGTTAGATGCTATTGAAAGGGATGATTTGCTGTTTGTGTTGAAAATTTGAAATTGTGCTTGAAACAATGTAACGTCTGCCATGTTTTGTTATTCTTGATTTGGTTTTGTGACTAACAGATGGTTACCTACGTTCTCAGAAAAGGTTGGAGAACAATCAAACGAGTCTCAGGATGGACGTGGTGCAAACTCGAAGCCATTGAAGGAGAAAACATCAAAGGCTGAAAGGCGTGCTCTTCAGGAGGCTCAACGAGCTGCAAAAGCTGCTGCAAAAGGTGACTAACTTTTATATCTCATGAATACAACTATGAACTATTGTGGAGTTACCTCATTGGAACTCGTTTAAGTGTCTCTCTCTCTTACCATGAGAGTCCAAGAGTCGGCATTTCAATATTTCTTCTATTAATTTATTGGAAGTTGGGACCCATCCATATGATCCTTTAATATCAGATTGTGAATGGTTGGATACGCCCCTTCTACCCCATTTGTGCATTTCTCACATTGTGAACTCTGAACAAGATTCCCCTTTTAAGAATTCATGCATTCTAAAAATCAATATATATAGGGTCAGTTTCATGGGAAAAACGCAAAAAGATGGAAGGTTGAGGAACATTCTAATAACCATTCATCTGAACTGTATGCACATATGCATACTAGTAATTTGTCTGGTATGCACATGTGCATACAATATAGATTAATGGTTATTAGGGTGCACCTCAGTTTTTCATTTGACCCTATATATTGTTTTGATGTCTGAACAACAGTGGGAACTATATATGCATTAGATGATTTGGTTGAAGAAATAGCTATAGATTTTCACTTCTATTTAATTGCTATTGATTCATGTACATTTTTATTACTGTTTTGGTCTAATTCTTGGCACATAATTATGTTTAGAGTTCCACTCTGCAAGAACCCCGAATCATTCTCTTGAAGCTCATCCTCTTCATCATAAATGATCCGCTCTTTTTTGGCTTACTTTTAGCCACCTAAGGCTTTTCCACAAAGTGGTGACAAAACCTCCAACTTTCGTCTCTGTTCGACCAGTCGGTCTCACAGTCAGGCAGGCTTACCACTTTGTGGAAAAGCCTTAGGTATGTGTTAATACGATATATAAGGACTTTTACTCTAGGCAAGCAGGTAAACTATATTGTCCTAGAGGCTTTCTTTAAAGCATCAATAGCTTAAGTTTTCAGCACTTTACTGCGAAACGTCCTTTACTGAAGGGCAGGCACCAAGAATTACTCACTTCATTATTTCAAGTTTTGGATCGAACTAATCCATTGACACAAATAGTTCATGAGACCCCCACTTGGGGCCCACTAGAAGAAAAACCTAAATGCATATTCCATATGTCCCACAAGAGCTGCAACTCTCTTTTTTTCCTGGTGTAGGTCTATATTTCTTTGCTACCTTTCTCGTAATTTTTGTTTTGCAAACCCGCGATTTTCCCGGAAACAGCCTCTCTACCCTTTCAGATGGAAGTAAGGCCTGTGTACATCTTACCCTCTCCAGACCCTACCTCTACGGTGGATTTACTGGGCCTGTTCGGTTTGGTGTGGTTTGTTTTGTATTGTCAACTATTGGTTCTTCACTTCCTATATTAATGTAGAAAATATATACTTTTTTTTATCTTTCTATATCTTATGATAATCTTATTTTGACCAAGAATCCCATCAAGCATTCACCTTTATTTCACACATGATATTTATTTTTCTTTCTCCAGCGGAAGGAAATGCTGGTTCTGGGGTAGCGAACTCAGTGAACACGAAAGCTGGAAAAGCCTCCAAGGCTCCTGTTCAAAAGAAAGATAACGTCTCCGTGGCAGCTTCTGAAAAAAGGGGAGGTGAGCGGATGACAGATAAGGATAGAAAGAAAGACGTCCCTCATCCACGAATGCAGTTTGATGATACAAGTCGTGTGGAGAAAGCTAAAAAGCGTGCAGTCGTGAAACAAACCGAGGTCAGGAACAGAGTCGAGCTTTTTAGGCATCTGCCTCAATATGAACATGGAACAAGGCTTCCTGATCTTGAAAAAAAGTTCTTTCGGCTCAATTCGGTTCACCCGGCGGTTTACAAGGTACTTTTTAGGAACTTCATTGTGTTTCATACCCGCAAAATATCATACATGCTAATCAATTTATTCTATCCGTCCCAAAATAAACGTCTACAGTGAAAAAGGTACACAGTTTCTGAAGGCTGTGATTATTACACTTTTTTGATTAACTAAATGACAATTTTCTTCTTAATAATAGCGGGAGTAATGAATTTCTCAGTCTCATAATTAAGGGTAAAATTGGAAATAAGTAGATATTTACTTTTAAAATAAGCTAGCTTAGTATTTGAGCTTATTGAAAAAGCTCTGTTTTGTAACCCATAAGCTAGTTTTTTAGAAAAACTACTTTAGATAACTTTACAATGAACTTCAGGGGCTTTTTCTCACTTTTTTTTTTCTTCCAATTATGCCCCTTAGGTTAGAAATGAATAAACATGCCCTTTTAGGTCATTTCACATTAGCCGGTTTTACTCCCTCCGTCAGGAAATGAATGTCCACAACAGAAAAGGCACACGGTTTTAGAAATGTGTAATTATTACACTTTTATTTAACTAAATGACAATTTTACCTCTTAATAACAAAGGGAATAATGAATTTTTTCATCTCATAAGTAAGGGTAGAATTGGAAAGTGTGGCATTTACTTTTGAAAATGGACACTTACTTCGGGACAAACTAAAATAGAAATGTATACACTTAAGTTTGGGACAGAGCAGAGGGAGCATCAAACATGATAGTTTATCGGCTAATAGTTAACTTATCTGTCAACAGCTAGCTTATCAGCTAGTTTGCCAAGCCTCTCCTATTTGGTGACGATCTTTCTTTAAATCCAGCTGATCTGACTAATGGATTTGACGATTTTAGGTTGGCTTAAGATATTTGGCGGGTGATATATCGGGTGGAAACGCTCGTTGTATTGCAATGCTTCAAGCATTTCAAGAGTCGATTATGGAGTACTCACCACCAAAAGAGAAGGCTCTTAACCGGGACTTGACCGCAAAACTGAATAGCTATGTCTCATTTTTGATCGAGTGCCGCCCTCTTTCAATCAGCATGGGAAATGCAATCAAGTTCGTTAAATCTCGAATAGCCAATCTTCCCTTAACTCTATCTGAATCAGAAGCGAAAACAAACCTCCTGTCTGAAATCAATAAGTTCATTAACGAAAAAATCATTCTGGCCGACAAGGTGATAGTACAACATGCTGTGACGAAAGTCAGGGACGGTGATGTTCTTCTTACTTACGGATCCTCTTCGGCTGTCGAGATGATACTATTGCATGCCCATGAGCTCGGCAAAAAGTTCCGTGTGGTGATAGTGGATGCACGCCCAAAACTCGAAGGGCGATTATTGCTCCGTAGGCTTTTGGGAAAGGGTATCAGCTGCACTTATGTTCATTTAAACGGCGTTTCTTATATCATGAGTCAAGTTACTCGGGTTTTTCTCGGGGCTTCATCGGTGTTGGCAAACGGAACGGTTTATTCGAGGGTCGGGACTGCGTGTGTTGCTATGGTAGCTAATGCCTGTGGTGTTCCTGTTATCGTATGCTGTGAAGCGTATAAATTTCATGAAAGAGTGCAGCTTGATTCAATTTGTTGCAACGAACTCGGTATGTTTCTTAAACTTGTTTGTGCTACAATTCGTTACTCCTTCCGTCCCAAATCAGATGTCTACAATGACAATTTTACCCTTAACAGAGGGGGTTAATTAATTTCTCCATCTTGTAAACAAGGGTAGAATTGGAAAGTAAGACACTTTTCAAAGTGGACCCTTATTTTGGGACGGAGTGAGTATTACTTAAATTCTGTTGTATGGGTCTCGGAAACAACCTCACTGTCTCTTGGAATTAACCCTAAGACCCGACATTTGGGTGAGATATATTGGATTTGTGCGGTTTGATCTGGTTTTAAGTTTTATTGTATTAAAAATAAATGGCAGGGGATCCGGATGCCATTTTGAAAGTCCAAGGGAGGGAGGAGATAAACGATTTGAAGGATATCGCGAATGATGAAAATCTGCAAGTTCTTAATTTGACGTAAGCTTGACCCATCATTAAAGTTGAATTTACGTGCAATAGATCAAGTCATTTGATGTTTTTATGTTTTGTCCCAATGAAACAGGTACGATGCAACGCCATCGGATTATGTTTCGATGATTATAACGGATTATGGCATGGTGAGTTTTTAAAATTCATGTTCCAATATCAAACACTCATCCCTCTGTTGGAGTCTTACATTGGCTAGACATGGGTCATTATATTAATATATATATATATATATATATTTATGTACAGAAACCACCTCTCTTTATGAGTGCCCTTTAAAAAAGATTCAAAGGTGTTTCGCATATCCTAACATGAGATTAGACCCTAGCTCCACCACATCTAGGGACTCGATACACTCTTCCACCTTTGTTCTAGAGGCACCCCAACATGTGTTTGAGGGGGCGTGTTGAAGTCTCAGATCACATTGGCTAGACGCCTAGTACATACCATCAAACCCACACACATACACATTTATGGGGGTTGCTATTCATACTCCCTCCTAACTCATGTACCACCTCGTTTATTACCCCTTCTCCTCACTCACGTACCCCCTTATAGGAGGGGGTATGAATAGAATACACCATATATATATATATATATATATATATATATAAATGTAGATATAGATATAAATGAAGCATCGTGTGAGAATAAGAGGTGAGAAGCATAGCAAGGGATTTGGACTCTTGATCACTTTTAATCTCACTCCCACCCCATGAATTGCGCTTATCACAGGAATTGATCTGATGCACCTCGATGCACTGCATTAGTGTTGATCATCAATTAGGATTGATCCAAGGGCGGAGATCCCTTCTTACCCTTTTCACCATAACTTCCATTCTCACGAGAACCCATATATATAGGGGAATAATAAAATCAGAACTCCATACGGAGAACTTTCACTTTTAGGGCATTGTTTCACATGACTTTTTTTCATTCATGGCTAGGATTGAAGGTACTGATTAACAAATATTTGTTTCGCAATGTGTTTATTTCATATATATTTGTTTCACATTGCAAACCTTCTCTACTATATATTATTTTGCTTCACAAACACGTCAAAGAAGTTTCACATTGTGAAACAAATATACGTTAATAAATATCTCAAACCCTAGCCTTAATTCAAAAAGGATCCACATATCCTAACATCCGGTACCAGTACATGTGTCGAGTGTCCTTTCTCCTTTTGTTTTCCTTGCATTGTTTTGGGATCTCATTTAGTTTTTGTTTATTTTCATCTGTTCAGATACCTCCAACAAGTGTCCCGGTGATTGTTCGAGAATTTCGCAAGGATCAGATATTGATATAATGAGCGTGGTTAAACGGGATGGTATTCGAGAATGAGACTTCATTTTTTTCTCGGGAAATGTCTGGTTTTGTAGCTTCTTCGTTTTTTAGTTGTTGGTCGTGTCGAGATACAACCGACTCAGTGCAGAGCGCGAATTTCCGCCTCTCCGAGCCTTTTGGTGGTTTTTGAGTCTTGTTTGTCCCCAGGGGTTTATACTGGGGGTGGGGGATTTTTGTTGTTGTTGTTTTGGTGATTTATGATGTCCTACAAAAGGGATAGGGATAGGGATAGAGATGGTTTTTTATGGAGAATTTGCTGCAAACCTTTTTGGTGGTCAACTTATTTTGAAATCTTAAGTGTCATCATAACCACCCATTTTGTTTGAGGCCATCTTGAAGCCGTTGGATGACCAAACATAAACTGGAGAAATATTGCAACTATTGCAGATTTTTGGATTTCTCTGAAGTTTTAGTGTTCAGTGTTTTGGTGTAAAAGTTTGGTCATTTAGTGGCTCCAAGGTGGGCAAAATTGGATCGGACCGGGTTCTTTTAACGAAAAATCCTAGTGATTGTTGTAACTGGTTCGTAAGGCCCGGTTATTTTTTACTAGATTTTGAATTTTTTTGAATGTATTTTAATGTTTTTTAAAAGGAAAAAACTAAGATTTTGTTGTTTTTAAAATTATTAAAATTGTGTTTTAAATCAACTTGTTCTTAGATATTGATTGATTCAAATGTTTGTTATTTTATTTACTAAATACAAATATTGTATTTGCTAACCACTAAAAACGGCTATGGACCTGATAATCGGTCTATTTGAAAATCTTATCCAGTAAGAGATAAGGCAAGGAACGAGTCTTAGGAGCTATTTACGAAACTCTTATTGTGTAACTGCTTATTGGGGGTCACTTACCTTACCGGTAAGCATGACAAGGAACGGGAATCCTACCCGATAAGTGATAAATAAGACTCTTACCCGATAAGTGCTTATTGGGTAAAAAATGCTTACCGCAATTCATTTTGATGGTCAAAAATGTTACCTGATGCGGTAAGCGACTTTTTTAGATAAGCGTTTACCCGGTAAGCGTATGGTAAGCAACCCCTTACCCAGTAAATAAGGGTGACGATCTTACTAGTACATTTTGATGGCCACCTATTTTACTTTGTAAAATTAGTAAGAACGATGACTCTTACCTGATAAGCGTTTTAGTAAATGGCTCTTTGTCTCTACAAGGAGCCTTTGCTATTGATGATGTCCACAAATTACGTAGTTACTTGCTCGCTATTCGTCATTTGATGTGGAATTGTGAGTCGTTATGAGTTATATTCGTCATGTGGCATTGAGAGTTTTTATGCACGCATTTGGTACACGGGACATAACAAGTTGTCCCAAAAATAGGTGGAACAAAAAAAAGGACAAAATTAGTAAATTAACAAACTACCGATTGATTTTAGTTTAAAACCCTAAAACCGTTCACGGCTCTTTTATTATTGCCCATGTCACCCACAAACACGATACATCCTATGAGTCGATAAAAGAAACTACGATCGAGTGTCATTAATATCTTTATTCCGATAACCAATTTCTATTACAATTTTACTCGTACAAGAGAAAGAATGTTGATCTTAGAACGAAAAAATAACTTCACGAATGTTGATCTTAGAATCGTCAAGCCGAAAAAAAAATGCACAAATCGACGTGTATAATGAACAAAGAACGAAAAATAACTTCAAGAATCGCTGACGGTGTCGCTGGGCGGTGTGCGGTCTTGTTGCGATCCGCTTGAATGACAAATCTCTTCGATCTGATTACTCACTTCCGCCATCGATGGCCTCTTATCAGGGTACTGAGCCGAACAATTGATCGCCAGTTGTAATAACTGAACCATATCATCTTCGACATTTTGATCCCTGAGCAACTCGAGGTCAAAAACCTCGGAAGTCCACTCTTCTCGGACCACCGATTGGACCCACCGTGGGAGGTCGACCCCTTCGTCGTTCAAGAGGGCATGGGTCGGAGCTTTACCCGTTAGTAGCTCCAATAGCAAGACTCCAAAGCTGTAAACATCCGCTTTCTGGGAAACTTTGCGGATGTCCGTCACCTCCGGTGCACGATAGCCGTCCACACGGGTCGGGGTGGCGTTGGGACCCACGAGTTGGGCGAGGCCGAAGTCTGACACACGGGATTCGTACGACGGAGTCAATAGGACATTTGACGATTTTATGTTGCCGTGGGACACTTTTGCCCCTTGCGAGTGAAGATAAGCGATTCCACGGGCAGCTCCAAGGGCAATCATGGATCGCATTTCCCAGTTCAATGGCATTCTACCGGCACCTCTGTTACCTAAACAACAAAAACGAGATACATTTTGACTTTTTCAGTCAAATCCGCTCCAACATTAACCAAACACAAAATAAATTGGATTCTAACCGATTTAAAACCAACATTATTCTATAAAATTTCTCCAAAACTCGAATAATTCTTATCAAGTTGGACAATCGTAGGTGTTCAGGCCAGCTTGCACGCAACTCAGTCTGGTGGCATGAAGGGACTTTGTGATTTGAACCGGTTAACTTTTATGGCATGTTTGGTATAGAGTTGGGCAACAATGAGATAGGCGGGCGAAAAAACTATGGTAGGTTTTGAAGTTCTAATTTAACAAAGGGTAGTTTAGTAATTTACATACCGCTCATTCATGCCCGGTACCAGTCTAATTGTGGTACCAAATGTGAGACAACAACTCTCTTTCTCTGGCATTAAAAATGCAAGCCTAAAAAACAAACTCAATGTCTTACCGGTTAAGCTACCCATTCAAATCTTATCAAGTTCAGTGTCAGAAGTCAACCATTTTGAACAGTGTATGTTTCTAAAAAAGGCAAGTGTACAGAATGGGAATATGATATGAAACAAAAAAACATGGGGAAATGGACAAAAATAGACATTCATTTTATAAGCCACCTTTTAAACAGATTTAGCCCGAAATTAAGCAAATGGCATCAAAAAACTTGTGTAATCCACTTTTCGAACTTAAAAAATAGGAAAAATGGCAAATATAGGGGGTCTAATTCGGCACTAAACAACAACACTTGCGTGATGCCCATTTTTCCTCGTTATTTTAATCCGAAAACTGGATTACGCAAGTTGAATAATGTTATTTGCATAATTTCCGGCTATATTCGTAAATAAGTGGCTATAAAGCGAATTGAATGGTCCAAAAAGGGCAAAATTTAAATTCTTGATTCACCAAAAATGGCAGATCCAGCAACCTCAGAAGATATGAACCCATAATTAGATCAAAGATCTGAGTTAACCCACAATCTGATTCAATTTTGACTAACCAGATTCAAGATTCATGATTCGCTAGAAACTAATTCCTTGAAAAACATGAAATTAAGCTGCATTTTGATCGGAAAAAACAAGACGAAAAGCATGAAAATGGAAGTTAGAAATGGTGATTTACCATGTAAAAGAGCAGAGAGGCTTCCGGTGGGAATGTAATCACAAACAAGAAGCTTTTCTTCGCCATTGAAATAGTAAGCTCTTAATGGAAGCAAATTCTCATGATCCATTCTTCCAACACTTTCGATTTTCTCTCTGAATTCTTTCTCCGCCATTGTTACATCCTTTAACCTTTTCACGGCCACCGTGAAACCCACCTCCAACACCGCCTTGTACGCCGTCCCAAACGTCCCTTTCCCCAAAACCTCCGCCGATGCCCGGAGCAAATCCTCCAAATCAAACTTGCCTATTTTGTTTTTCCCCATAAACACTAACTTCTTATTAACTTCACCGGATTTCCCCTTTGCACCGCCACCGCCCACCGCCGCCGTCAACGACGGAAAACCACTGCTCGAACTGTCGGCGGGTATTTCAATCTCTACTTGCTTCACTTCGCTCAGATCCTTCGTTTTTATCTCATCCTTTTGCTTCCTCTTCTTGCAACACAAAAAGAATAAAATCAGTAAAATTAACAACACACCCAGCAACGATCCGATGACAATTCCGGCAATGGCACCGCCGGAGAGCTTATCGGATGAACTAGACCCGGTTTCTGACCCGTTACAAGATACAAGAGGTCCGCCGCAGAGAGAGTTCCCGGAGAAAGCAGATTCAGGGAAACCCACAAATTTCGATGGAATTCCACCGGTTAATTGATTATTCGAAACATTGAAGAGAGCGATTGAAGGTCGATTTAGATCCGGAATTGAACCCGATAAAGCATTGTTCTCTAGATACAAAGTAGCTAAACGGGTCAAATTCCCAATCGAAGAGGGAATGTTGCCGGAGAAGTTATTACTGGCGAAACTAACACGAACCAGATTTCCGAGCGGCGAAAATAAATCAGGTATGGGACCGGAGAAGAGGTTGTTTTGTAAGTAAAGGTTTCGGAGGTTAACAAGAGAGAAGATATCAGTTGGAAGCTGACCGGAGAGAGCGTTATACCGGAGACTTAGAGTGGTGAGTTGGGTTAAGTTTCCGAGTGTATTTAATGGAAGTTCTCCGGAGAGACCCATTCCGGGGAAATGAAGCTCGACGACACGGTTTGTGGTGTTGTCACAAACGACTCCTGGCCAAGTGCATGGTGTCGAGGGTTGTGAGATGTTCCAGAGGATGGATCGACCGCCAACGGAGGAGCGAATGGCAAGGATGGCTAAACGGTCGCCGGCGAGGTCTGGTTTCACGCCGGCGAGGAGGAATGAGAAGAAGAAGAAGAAGAAAGGAGCGTATTTCATGGTGTGAGAGAGAGAGAGAGAGAGAGAGAGAGAAGAGTGATGACAGTGGGTATAAAAAGTCTCGCTCAAACTGTCAACATGAAATTATTATTATTATTGAAAAAAATAAAATTATTTTATTTAAAATATAAAAAAAACGGTAATATTATTTGGTGACGGTGGGTTGACCCGTACCCAAGTGGGTACCCGGTTTGTTTGTCCAATATGGTGAATTATTAACTTGCTAAATATTTTTCTGAATAAATAAAGTATAGAATTTTTAGAAATTGATTATTTAAATTCTGAAAAATACATTTAACCGGTTAGGATTATCTTTAAAGTAAGAAAAAACAATAGTTGGTTTTACTCTTCTTAAACCCTACTTTATTCGCTCTCCATCACTGCATCATCATTGTTGGTCTTGTCATCGTTCTCCCTTTTTTTTATTGTTTATCTTGTTTTTCGGTTCTTTTTTTTAAATGCATCAATAAAAACCAAATAAAAAGAACAACCGAGTTATCGAAACCAGAGCAAACAAATAAAAGCATACCCACCATCTATAAGGCATAAAAAGGAGGGAAGTAGCAAAACCGAAACCAAACAAAAATCTCACGCACAGGGCTTTTGAGACAGTGAAAAGATAAACAAAAAGAGGTCGAAACGACCAATAAGAAACAATTAACCGGGAGAAGCCGGATATAGCACCACAAAATCCAAGACCTATCAAAATCGTTAACACGATGAGGAAGCCGACGAAATGTTGCAAGTTGGATCTCGAACAATCACCATCCTCACACAAGCTACCAAACACGAGTTTATTTCGAGAATTCTGAATCTATAAGAAAGAAATCCAAATAACGGTTGTCCATCTGTTTTGCTCAAAGGATAATGTAGGGGGGGGGGGGACTCGGCCAAAGCCAACACATTTGCAACTGAGGCTAAATGTGGAGGCAAATAAATTGTTAGGACTAAAATAATCCTAAGTATTAGAAAGTTTTATAAAGGCAATTACCTTGTATTGTATTGTAACATCTTGTATTTGAGCTGAAGGGCATTGGGTTTTACATGTAAATTTTACCTATAAATAGGTGACATGGGCTTAGATTAGCAAGTTGTTCATTCTGTAATCTTCACATGAAAGTCACATAGTGTGTTTGAGAGCTTTGTACGTTTATTGTTTTCATGAACAAAGTAATAGGCCGGTTCATCATGTTCATGTTCATGTTATAATCTTTCAATCTTCATCTTAATTCTTGAATTGTTGTTGGATCTGGGATCCACAATTGGTATCAGAGCATAATCGATTCATTCTAATTAATACAATCATATTTTCTACAAGTAATGTTTCTGTTTTTGGCTATGGAATTGTACTCACATGAACATAGCTTCCTGTTCGACTTTTTTGAGCTTAAATTGATCAAATTCACCATGTTTTTAAGTGTTTTAATCAAATTCGTGCCAAAGGATTTGCATTTTGAATTCAAACCTATATTGATCATCAATTTTGGTGTTTATTTAAAATATTTTGGATTTTTGATGATTGGTAGTCGAACTGTGCTTTGATATTGTCAGATCCATTTTCATCGCTCGTTGAATGTTTTTATTGAGAGATAAGGGGTGTTCATCGCCCAATGAAGATTCAAAGCTATTTTAAGTGATATATAGATGTTCATCGGCCAAAGGATTGATTTTTGTAACCTGGTATTGCAAACTGTGTTGAGCGACGTATTTTTGACTTGGATGAATTTTTGGCTAAGTGTTGAGAGATAACCTTAGTAATCACTCAAAGCACTGATCGGTGAAACATGTTCATCGTCCAAGTCTGTGGCTTAATGTTTCAATCCGCTCAACGTGCTGAGCGATAAGGTCCTTATCACCCAACACACCAGGCGATGAAAAGTTGTTTGGTGGGCAATGACCTTATCTTAACAGTTTGCCTTGTTACTTATCATGTGCGATAAAGTGTTGCCCAATGAATTACCAATCCGCTCAAAGCTTCAAACGATGAACCTTATATATTGAGCGATAAAAGGAAGTTGATATATCAGCCCAAGGCATGAGCAATTTCATTGCTCATCGTCCAGGGTGTGGGCGATATAAAGGAGTTCATGGTGTATCCGCCTAAGGCATAAATGATGAGCATTTGGGTGATATAAAGGAGTTCATGGTGTATCCGCCTAAGGCATGGGCGATAAGATGCCAAAATCAATGCTCATACATCACATGGGTATTTATTCATCGATTCTCTTTGTACTTAATTAGTGTGCTTAATAGATTATTGCCCTTAAGAGTATCAAACAACAACTTTGTAAAATATTGACTTTTCAAGTCAAATTTTGACTTTTTGGTCAACCATTTTTTAGGTTAATGATTAAAGCCGGATTTGAAAGTATTTTAGAATTGTTTGATTGGTTTTGGTATTTGATTGGACTAGTCAGAGTTTGAGTATCTACAATCGTTAATCTGGAGTTTTTCTACAAGAGACTAGACCATTGAGTGTCTTCACTCATTTCTTTTGACCTGATCAATCAGAAGTTTTGAAGGTTTGCAATCAGTGTTCTGGAAATTATCAGATCTTTGAGTGTTCTCACTCATTCTTCTAACTTGATCAATTAGAGGTTTGATAGTCTACAATAATTGTTCTGAGGCTATGGTTGTGATATAGAGTTCCGACTTCCGAGTGCCTATAATCATTCTTATGGCTAGGAATTTTGAATCTGATTCTGGTTATTCAGTTTTCTGAAAGTTTAAAGAAAACCGAATTATCTGTTTGGTTGACTTGATGTTCTTGAAGTTATGTTCTTAATGTTGATACTTCTCTCCAGTTCTTAATATCAGTGGTATTTGCTTTGGTATTTCAAGCTAATGTTGTTACCCCAATTTGTGAGCTTACCAAGATCAAGTTCTTAAGCTGGATGCTTATTCAACTCATGGTTCACTGAAAGATTCTTTGTCATAAGACTATTGCACTGGAATGTCAGTAACTCACACTATTATCTATCCACATAGTTGGATGAATTAGTTGCTTGTGGGTCAACAATAATTCTAAGGTTACGGACTGTGTTGAGTTGTCTGCAGTTATAGTTGTACTTTGTGCAATTAGTGGTGTTGAACTTACATTGGATCTTATCTTAAAGTTAAAATTGAAGAGTAAGAGCTTTATTTAGGGGGAAGCTTGAAGATTTCATCAACATCGGGCACACCAAGTTTTTCTTAAAGACAGCAGGGGGGAGAAGACCTGAAGGTTTCAAGAGATGCTTGCATTATAAAACTTTGGGGGGAGATTGTTAGGACTAAAATAGTCCCAAGTATTAGAAAGTTTATAAAGGAAATTACCTTGTATTTTATTGTAATATCATGTATTTGGGCTTAGATTAGCAAGTTTGTCATTATGTAATCTTCACATGAGAGTCGCATAGTGTGTTTGAGAGCTTTGTACGTATACTATTTTCATGAATAAAGTAATCGGCCGGTTCATCATATTCATGTTCATCTTATAATCTCTCAATCTTCATCTTAATTCTTGAATTGATGTTAGATTTGGGATCCACATAAACCCCACCACTAAAGAATCTTAGCACACAATGACAACACCGCAAGGCAGCCTGCAAAGCAATGATCCACCAATTCAGCGTCGCTACTGCATTGAGGGCAAAACACCGAGTTAAGGTCAATCCTCATTTGGTCAAAAACGAGCATGAACTAGAATTATTCCAAGCTTCAACCACCAAATGAAAATACAAATTCTGCAACGAAACGGACTTGTTCCAAATAGTAGGCACAAAACCTGTCGAAAGAACATAAAATGAAGAGTCAACCAAATCCTTAATGTACTTTAATATTAAATTGCAGTAAAAGAGGGATAATCAAAAGAAAAATAAAACATATCAAAAAGAGGGAGATCGACAACAAGGTCCAATGACGACGATGAGCATTATGGAGAACGAATGACGAATGGGCAGCGATGGTGTTAAGGGAGAGGGATGCCATTAGGTGTGAGTAATTTGAATGACGTAAAGTTTGAGAACGATAAAACGGATTTGATTTTACTTTAAAACATTTCTAGCCGGTTACAATAATTGTTTTAGGTTAAAAAAATGCAAATAACAAATTTATAAAAGTTCGATGACTTATTTATTCAAAAAAAATCAAGGAGTTAGTCATTTAAAATAAAAAAAGCTTAATAGTTTATTTACTAAAAGAAGTCTCGTTTAAAGTAAATTATTGGAACATTATTTAAAGTAATATTTAAATAAACTTTGGGAATTTCTTTTTGTATTTTTTGTAATTATGCCAATGTATTGTTAAACCTTAATATTTGTAATTATTAATTTATAAGTAATACTAACGTTAGATTATTAATTCATATTTTTGTGCCATTATTGATAATCTTAATTATTATTATTTTTCAATATATTAAATCGATAAAAAATTAAATATACCAATTCTTACAAATTAAATTATATTATTTTTCATGTATTTAATTCAATTATTAATTACTATTTTTAAAAAAATTATGAATTAACTTAGACATAAGAATTGTTGTGTAACAATTAATTAAAATGATCAATTAGTTAATTTAGTTTATATGTTTCCTAAAGTTCGTATTTGGTTACACAAACGGGAGTATGATGTTATGTATGTGTGTATGTAGGGTTGTAAACGAACCGAACGTTCAGCGAACCGTTCGTGAACCGTTCGGCGGAAAGTTCGTTTATGTTCGTTTATTTAATAAATGAACGAACATGAACAATTTTTT